CGAGCCTTGTACGCTAGAGGCAATGAGCCGTGCAATGAGCATTATCAAAACTGAGCTGCGAAATGAGTGAATGATGAATGGACGAATCATTGTTTGATGTGCTATATTGAGCGTGATGTATTTGCAAGCATTGATAATATTAAGATTATGTAGTGCTACCAAAAAATGAGGAAACACAAGGGGCTACTACCTCGTGCACTTTGTGATAATGGTATATTATGTATTTTGCAAAATTCATATGAAACAATCGCTTTAGTATATGTCCGGTGTCTTAATTTTAAATACTCGATTTTATGTTTGCATCTTCATGTCCTTCTACTATTGCAGAAACCATGGCCTCGAATTAAGCAAGTCTTCATTAATTTCCTACCAAACAATGTTTGCAATGATGCACATTGTTAAACTGTCTGTTTTATCGAATTTCCTCTCCTGGTAATGATGAATTTATGTTTCGTCTTTAATGTGAATTTGTGGCATACTTCTAACACACATTGGTGTGCATGGTATTTTATTTATAGTCAATTAGTTTTAGCCATAGGCTTAGAAATTCTGGCTCCGCTTTGATTGTAATCGCCTTCAACATTGGCATACTATACACATATTTAGCATCGGCGTCTCACCAACTAGAGAAAATGTCGTCTGAGCTACTATTGCCATAAAGAATCTAACATGCCTTTGATTCGCCGGACTTCTTCTTGGTTACTTAGGTCGCTTGCTTCAAACAACTCCATCTTACACCGACGAACTTCAAGGTCAAAATTTTCTTACCGAAACTTTGGGATCCTTTCCTTTCTTCAACTCATCTCTGGGAGAGCCGAAGCTTGTAGGGAAGGATGCGAGGCCATGTGGGAGATATAATCAGGCTAATTGGGATGGGGCAATAGATCTAGTCGTTGGCCAATTGAATAGCCATCAACTATCACGTGACAAGGTTGGTTTTTATAGGCCATCCTTCTGAATTCTCCAAACACCAGTTTGGAGTGTACCCTCGTTAACACTTGTATCTTAAACATATTCGGTTGCATTTAACTAGGGAAGGATGTCCGGGAGACCGAGGCAAGGTATGCCGCCATGTCCATCTCATACCCTAGCAAGTTCTTCCATGAGTGCCCATGACACGGTTGTTTGAGTCCGTCACCTTGTCAACCACTTTGAGCAAGTACGTACTTTGTACTTCTTCCTTGAGTGCACATCAACCTCCTACCTCTCTCATTATCAGATTTACCCAACGACATATTCCCTCTAGCGACCCCAGCAAGCCAATGAAACAAAAATAGACCGTAAGAATCACAACTTAAGAACCTTGATCAAATCAAAATTCAACAACATTGAATTTGTTAACTATCTTACAATATCCATGTAGAGAAGAATAGAAACCACATAAATATTCAAAAATCAAGTGTCGCACCCTGCTCATCAAAGAATTAACAATCTCGAATGGTGAAAATGCTAATAATGAACTCTGGCCACCATGCAACAAAACCATGAACTAAAAAAACCCAACCGCAATGGCAGGAGCAGGATAGTTCATGTGCTCTAGTAGTCATAGGTTCCTCGCACCCATGGAACTGTTAATAAAGAACAATGGACGCAATGCAAACTTTTAACAAGATATATAGCCAATCACATACCTGGCAATCGCAAGTGTGGAAGTTTCATGTGCTCTTATTGTCATATGATCTAGCATTGGTGGAAATGGAGAGGTGTAGTAGGGAGGTCACTCATAGCTGGTCGGTGTAGATGAACATATACATCAAATCATGCTCCCTAGTGGACCTCTCATGTTATCAGCCTTCAGAGTTGTCCGAATTTTTACTTAGGACGGGTCTAGACGTCCAATCAGAGTTAACATTCCCGCCTAGGCCATTGTAATTGCATTCAATGTTGGCATATTATACAAAGCATGAATTTTGTGGTAATAACTACAAATCTCTCATCCTCTCTGACTAGATTTATTTTGTAAGCTTTGGAACTGGTCGGTTAAAATATCGACCTCTCCCTCAAGCATGGGTCCCATGTGCACTTCCTTTAGCCCAATACAAGAAACTTGCTTCCAGACATAGTTTTTTTTAAGTTTTGTAACTTGCCTCTCCCCCAATATGTCGGTCCCATATGCCCGTGCTTGCCAGAAGTCACGTTTTATATCTAGCTGTTAGAAGGGGGCATTTTTTTACGTACATTCAAGTAGCCCGATATCCCACCGATGACACAAGTTATTTTTTTTTCATTTTCAATCTAAATCTCCCTTATGTTGTAGTTGCTATCTCTTGATCTAAATGTGCTTCATGATGAGTATACTAAACATGATGGTTGCCTACTCTAGTGTACACAAGCCCCACCCACCGGGTAATACACGACAACTGAGGAGGTGGGCCGGTAGCGATTGAGGAGGAAGACGATGGTGCGGCGATGATGTCCTAATCCTATATCATGGCCATCATGTTGTACTCAATTTTCAATTCATGTTGAAACCATATTTGCAACATGATTGCACAACTCCTTTTTAGGGCTAAACTCATTTTGTTAACATGGTCACATATTGTATAGTTGCAGATGCGACCTAATGGAGTAGCCCACTGGATTGTGCCAACCTTATACATGGGGCCCGCCATGGGTCTCCTAGTTGTGTTCTTTGTGCGCTACTCCTTCTCTCGAACAATCTTGGATACACTTGTTTTTTCTTATTGTCATGTTGTTTATGTTTAAGAATAAGCGATACATTAGATAGGAAATAATATAAGTAATACTTGTAAGAAGTCTGAATTAATTAGCGCACATGTAATACTTGTAAGAAGTCTTAATTAAACTATAGAGAGAATGATAAAATTTGGATGAGTAACCCAATCACTTGATCACACACACACACACACACACCCGTGCAACTCAACAGTTGTTGTACAAGATGGTCAGAAACAAGAAATGTGCCTTTGCATATGACCAACCCGGTTAGTTCTTTTGCTTTTGGCAACCAAATATGAGCTCCAGCACCTGCCAGGATTATCCTGTGCAAGCGACCAAATAAGGGAAAGACAATAAAACTGCTAAATTCTTCTAGTATATAGCACTCACCTGTCAATACCAAGTATAAAATCAGTGTAACAAAAGT